TCAGAAGTTCTTCCTGTCCCATTTGGAGGTTTTTTTTAGCATATTGCACAATCCCGTCCGCCATTAACAAATCGATTCGTAATTTTACGAAATTTCGTAAATTTCGAAATTTTTTAAAGGAAAAATTTGGAATTATTAAAAAAAACGAAACACAAAGGCCCCCTAAAAACAAAACGAGTTTAGAACCAAATTTTTCCGTGGTTACCCAAGCCTACAGTTACAATGTACATATTCCAAGGTACATTCAAGGTGCCTGTCCCGACTTACTTACATGGGGACATTTCTCGACTTATGTACAAAGGGCTTGAACTTACATGCAAGGTCATCCTGTGCACCCTCTTTCTCCAAGGCAGAGAATGAGAGGAAGGAAGGAAGGAAGGAAGGGATTCCACCCTTTCAGGGAGAAACTAGGCGAGAAGAGCTGAAGGAGGAGGGCTCTCCTATATATATGTCTACAGTTACAATGTACGTGTTCCAAGTTACATCCAAGGTACCCATCCCGGCTTATGTTCATGGGGGGGGGGGGGGGGTTACATGTCCCGACTTACGTACATGCGTCTGTCTCGACTTACGTACAGAGGGCTTGAACTTACATGCAAGGTCATCCTGTACACCCTCTTTCTCCAAGGCAGAGAAAAAGAGGAAGGAAGGAAGGAGGGAAGGGATTCCACCCTTTCAGGGAGAAATCAGGCGAGACGAGGCGAAGGAGGAGGACTCTCCTATATATATGTCTACAATTACAATGTACCTGTTCCAAGTTATATTCAAGGTGCCTGTCCCGACTTACGTACATTGCCCATCCCGACTTACATACAGAGGGCTTGAATTTACATGCAAGGTCATCCTGTGCACCCTCTTTCTCCAAAGCAGAGAAAGAGAGGAAGGAAGGGAGGGAGGGAGGGAGGAAGGAGGGAGGGAAGGGATTCCACCCTTTCAGGGAGAAACTAGGCGAGAAGAGGTGAAGGAGGAGGGCTCTCCTATATATATGTCTACAATTACAATGTACCTGTTCCAAGTTATATTCAAGGTGCCCGTCCCCGACTTACGTACATGGGTGGTGACATGTCCCGACTTATGTACCCTGTCTCGACTTACGTACAGAGGGCTTCAACTTACATGCAAGGTTATCCTGTGCATCCTCTTTCTCCAAGGCAGAGAAAGAGAGGAAGGAAGGAATGTCTACAATT